ATCACCTGTTTTTGTTTTTCTGTTTTTTGTTTTTTTTTTTGCAAGTTGTTCACTCTTTTATTACTACATCTGAGTCTGGTTCTAATACTTGCTTTATCTTTTCAGACTGTTTTTTTTCTGCCTTTTGTCATGTCTTGCAAATTTTTTTTTGAAAGTTGGACATGATACATCAGATAAAAGAAACTGAGTTAAATAGGCCTTTAAAAACATGCCAACTTTATTGAGATATAATTGACAAATACAATCGTAAGATATTTAAGATGTACACCATGGGGATTTGTTGCACGCATACATACAGAGCCTTCACCTGAGGTTTTCTGTGAATTTGCCTAGGAGTGCAGCTGGGGTGGCCGTGGACCACAGCTGGGGTGGCTGTGTACCACAGCTGGGGTGGCAGGCGGACACTGTTCCAGTCCTTGCTTCGTCTCCCTAGTCTGCACGCTTGCGGGAGGCTCCTTCGTGGGGTCTGAGGCTTCTGTTCTCCCCGCGTAATCTCCTGGTGTTTTGCAGGTGTCCTGCTGATGTTGGTGAGCTGTGGGGAGGGAAGCATTCTCTAGTCCTGTGATTAGGTCTGCAGCTGTGTCCCTGGGCTGTATGTAGCCTTCTCTTGTGCTTCTCAGTTCCCCTCCCCCAGCTTAGGTGAGACAGGAATGGCAGAGGGTGCTGGAGATGGGTATCTCCCTCCCCCAGGGAGATCAGGCTTTGGTAAAAGCCCAGTCCATTGGGCTCTCGTAGAGCAGTTTCCCTTGAGAACAGGCCTTATTGAGGATAACAGATCGTCAGGCATATTCCAAAACGGCTCCTTTTCCCTCCATGGGAAGTACTAGAGAATTTCCCTCTGATTGTCACAGGGGCAAACTTTGTGGGGCTCCAAGAGACAAAACTTATGACAGTGTGAGAACTGTTCCCCACTCCCTAAGACTCACCCCCTTGGAATTTTTAACTCTCGAACTAATCGACACTGAGCCTCCAGCAATTCTCAATATAGTTTGAAGCACTCCTGCTAATACTGGCTCCAGGTATGGGCAGCACGTTGACTCCTAACGAGCTGTGATTCTCTCTATGGCCTGTTTCTCTAGTTTCAGGGGCAGCAGTTCGCCCTGTGACCTCCTCTGATCATCTAAGAAGAGGTATTGATTTTTCAGTTTGTTCAGCATTTTTTCTTGTTGCAAGAACAGAGTGACCAGCTTCTAAACTCTTTCCATGCCAAACTAGAAACCAGAAATCTCCCAGAAATAAATTTAATACAAAGGATTAAATATTTACTGGCTCTTCGGAAAGGCTGAAAGAGTGGAATTGGGGGGCTGCCACTGAACTTTGGGTTTTGAGGTCTCACCAGCATCCCTGTGATCTGGCGGCCGGGAAGATACTGCTGTGTCAGACAGCCAGAGCGGCCGCCACCCCACAGCCCGCCCAACCTGCAGTGGACCCTGGTCCCAAGCCCTCATGTCTGCTGTCTGACCTGCTCACCCACTGCAGTAACATTGGGGTGCCTTGTCACCAGTCCCAAGTCTAGTTCATTGTACTCTATTTTGTTTGCATGTTTGTTCTTTCTTCCAACGTGCCAGGTCTCTACCTTGCATTCCAATTTCAGCTCTTGGGTCCCTGTCTTGTTTCCTGATGTCTGAGTCTTTCTCTGTTGTATAGTCCAGGCCATGTCTCTGCTCATCGCACACAGCACCCCGCCTTTCTTCTGGCCATTCCTTCCGGTCCTTTGGCTATTGGGGAAATCAAAGGATTCCTTCCCGCACTGAGTGCTGGGGGTGGAGTCCTTATGCTATCACGAGAAAAAGAATTTTCTGAGACTCACATGGGAAGATAAGTGATTTTTATTTGCAGGGAATTTACATTTCAGGGTTTGCAAAGTCCCAGTTCCCTTAGTCTAATGATAGGAGAAGTGCAGCTGGGGCTTCAGCAGAGCTAGAGGCAAAGCCAGTGTCCAGAGTTTCTGTTCCATACTGTGGCCGGGTCCATTAGTCCATTGTGTGTGGGGACCACATGGCCATGGGCCATGTGGGAAAATTCAGGGCAGCGGAGAGAGCACGCCCCATTCAACAAGAGTCCCAAGAAGCCGAGAGAGCGAACTCCTTTTTTAGGGGATGAAATATTCCAAATTTCACACCCTTGCAGTGGCCATGCCCATTCTGACCAATGACCTGTTCCCAGGTGTGACTGACAGGCATGTACCTTCCCAACATCACCCCAACTTTACTGGGCATGTGTCTATTCTCCCCTCTGTCCAGTTTCTTCCCCCACTGATCTGCAGGGACTAGACAGGTGGCTTCCGGGGGAGTGTAAAGCTGTAGCTTCCTGGTGAAGCTGCCCAAATGACATGCCTATAATTTCTGGCCTTCCCTTTGCTCCCTTCCTGTTTTTCATAACTAGTTAATTGCAACAGTATCACTTTGAGATCTAGCCTGTTTGCCAGATCTCCATTTATCCCCACCCCCCACCCCCAGATTTATCTCTTTATGATACCCATTTTGAGTGGGAAAAGATTCATAATATATTAAATGAAAATAATCTATTATTAAATAGGATGCCATATATAATTCAGATTGTGTGTGTGTGTGTGTGTGTGTGTGTGTGTGTGTGTGTACACACATGAGGCCTGGAATTAAACACATCAAAATATTTAAAACATTTTTTTTCTTTATTTATTTTTAGAGAGAGAAGAAGGAGAGGAAGAGAGAGATAGAAATATCAATGAAAGAGAACATCGATTGGCTGCCTCCTGCATGCCCCCAACTGGAGATTGGGCCCACAACCTGGGCATGTGACCTGACCAGGAACAGAACCAGTGACCTCTTGGTGCATGGGTTGATGCTCAACCATTGAGCCACACCAGCCAGGCAACACATTAAAATATTAACAGTGATTATCTCTTTGTGGCTGAATTAAGATCATATTTTATTTCATTTTATTCTTGATATGGGAACACTTTTGATGTTGATCAGCTTATTTTCTGTGCTTGATAGCCTAGAAACTTTCATTTTTTTCCCCCAGAAGTAAACAAAATAGAGAAACAAGGACAGAAATGTGCTGTGTCTTTGGCAATCAGTGTGTGCAAATATCAAGCTACATAATAAGGTCCACCCGCACTCCCGCTTCCCTTAAAATATAGCACAGAACTGTAGTAACAACCTTGTGAGATCGTTGGAGGCAGAGCTCTTACTGCACCATCAGTCATTTCTCAAAGGTTTACATTTCACAAATGAAATCATTAAACTGGTGAGGGTAACACTGTTTTATTTTGTGGAACTGCATTATCTTTTAGTGCAATCGCAATTTGAGAATTTCTTAAATGACATGAAGTTGTCAGCAGATTTCACAAGAATGAGAAGCTTAAAAGCAATGTCTCTCAAGAACTACAGGGCTCCAGGAAGATCGAAAATCAGGAAAAAACAATGATAATAGTCACCATTTATTAAGCATTTACTATGTGCCAGGAACTGATCTAAACATTTTGTAGGGATGGTAGTGCTGTTATTACTTCCATTTTTATAGATGAAGAAAATGAAATACAGAAAAGTTCAGTCTCATGCACAAGATAAGACCCTGAACTTAGGGGCATATGTTTCGCATCCAGTTTCACAAGCCTAGGAGACATATCAATTATGCTAGCACCAAAGTCACGTAAGCTAAGACTGTGTTAAGAAGTACCCTACTTAGAGAATGCTCTCAATAAATTCTGACTTCCCTCCCCCCTGAGGCGGAGGTCTTTGCAAAACTTAACCTTTATAGCTTATCAACAGTGTCTCCTCAACAATGCCAGTGAAGAATCTGGCATTTAAGTAAGAACAGGTGGGAAACCTTGACTAAGCACAGAGGTTATCCAGCAGGCTGCATTGCTATTCAGATCCATTCCTTCCTTTCCCTTCCCCTTCCTCCCACCCTCCCTCCCTTTCTCCCACCAGAGCTAACACACTGTTGAACAAGGAGCTTTTGGAGTCAAATACCAGAAATTTCTGTTGCAGCTAGGATATTGCTCCCCCTCCCTTTAAATTAGAATGCAGATTATAAAATTCCAAGAACTATGTTACATTTTGTTTGTGATATGAACATGGATGGGTATCAGCAGAAGATGAACTCACAGAAAATGGTCATTTCAATAAAGTGATGCTTCTTAGGCACCTGTAAAAATGACTTCACCCTCCTGAAGAAAGGCCACGTAAAACCCATGATACTCTTTCTCAGAAAAGAAAAGCTTCCAAATACCCAGGATTATTGAGTTTCTAACATTTTTTTGAGGTGCTATTTTGTCATATGCTCTACAAAGACCCTCAAGGTGTTGAGTTTCCGCTTCAGTAGACAGGCATTAATCCATAATCTCAAGCCATTATCAGTTTCTGATGGTACCTGTGATCAGCATACACCTGGTTCTCATTGCTGCTGTCTCCCAACAGAGTTACAGCCGTGCTAAGACACAAAATGTGGGAGAACATTGAGTTATCAATTGCTTACTAATTAAAACCAGTGCCATTCATAGAACATAAGGCCAACAAAGAAATCCTTGACGTTATCAGCATGGCCAAGAAATTCTACAGCCACCTTTATAATCATGCCATTTGTTTTGTATTGATTAATTGAATCTATAGTGACCCTTTTATAAGGATAATCCTACACTCTTAATTAGGTCACAGTGTAAGGAGCCATGGAGACATTTGTTGAGCTCCTATGTCCTGGGACTTGTCTGTGAGCTGGGGAGAGTTATTATTATTTTTTTTTACTAATTAATTTATTTTTGTTACAGATGTTTCTTCTTTCCCCCCACAGACACCCTCTTCCCTATCCCTCCCCCCCAGCATTGTTGTCTATGTCCATTGGTTACGCATACATGCATATAAGTTCTTTGGTTTATCTCATCCCTCCCCCCATCCTCCTCTGAAGTTTGTCAGTCTGAACCATACTCCTTTCTACGTCTCTGGGTCAATTTTGTTCATCAGCTTTTTAAAAATTATTATTATTATTTTAAATACAGATGCCCTGATTTTTGCCATAGGGGAAGTTGGACTGTGCTTTGCTGTAGTGGCTACAAATTCTGCCATTTCATAACTGCCCTGACTCATCTTTCCCAGACGACTAAACAGACAATTGTGAGTTTACCACACTATCTCTGTCTTACACTGGGTGTAGAAGGAATGCCTAGGAGCCTAAGGAATTTAAATAACCTATGCATGAGTTATCTGCTCTGAAAGATGGTTTGTGTAGGAAAATTACATTGTTTCTCAGTACCTATAAGCATTCAATAAAAGTTGAGTCAGTGAATTCTGAAAGAGGATCTTCACATCACCTTAGCCAAATGATAAGAAGTATATCAATGAGATTGTTTCTAAAAGAGCATTAGCTAGAACCTATGTCTAGTAGTGTGGCATTGAGTCTCACTGTGAAATGCATGGTAAGCCATGTAGCTCATTTATTTTATATTTATTGAGCACTCATTATATGCCAGGCTACTTGACATAAGTCATCAATGCATTTATTTTAGGCGAAAAGAGACCCAGGCATCTTGATTACTGTGCAGAAAGGACTTTATTGAGCTGTGGTACATACCTAATAAAAAAGACATAATATACTGCTCGTTTCATCTCAAACCTATGCCATAAAATCACAGCTCTCAGCCAGGTATGTCAGACACGTTTGTGTCTCATAATTCTCTCTATTTTATTCCAGTTCAATTATCTTCAAGCAAATAGTCACACCAAAGACAGCAAAAATTCTAAGGTAGGTTTGAATTGAACTTTTTAGGTCTTTTTTTGTTCATTATGTCCCACAATTTCACTCAGGATTAAGTGTGATTGTCCTGGGTATGAATTCTGGCTCTGTCACCGAAACTGGGATGACCACTTAACCTCCTTGAGCCTCCAAATGGCTAAACTAATACCATCACAGGTAATGCCTATAATTTGGTGAGGATTCTCTACAAAATAGATAGTCTTTCAACTAAGGATAGGCTTTCTTTAGGCAAAGAAAAAAGAATATTTCAGGTAGAGGAAATGTCATGTGGTGTTATGTACATAAACAGTATAATATTAGTTACAACTATACTCTAAGGGGGGGGATCATCACTTGATCTAATTTGGATGCATAACCAAGGAGTGTACACACTGTTGTCTAATGACAACTCTACTCTAGAGGTGGCTACTTCGACTACTTTCGTTCCTTACTATCACTGAAGGTTCTCTCTCCATATGTGGTACCATATATATCATATATTATAATAAATGTTATGTGACTTTCATTGAAATCAAGTGGCTACTTAATTAGCATAAAATATTAGAAGTGGGCTTTCAGTGGTTAAATTAGTGATGTTCAAGATACGTGAACTGGTGAATATATTTTGAGATGCTCCTACCCTGCATGTACAGAGAAACATTGATGTGAGAGAGACACACCAACTGGTTGCCTTCTGCACAACCCTGACCAGGGCTGGGGATGAACCACAACTGAGGTATGTGCCCTTGACCAGAATTGAACCTGTGACTCTTTGGTCCGTGGGCTGATGCTCTAACCACTGAGAAACCAGCTAGGGCTAGCAAAGGTTTTTACTCTTAAAAATAGCACCCCAGATTTTTATTTTTATTTTTTTAAATCTTTATTGTTGAATGTAGAATGTATTACAGATGCTCCTCATTTTTCCCCCATTGACCCCCTCCTCCCTACTCCTGCCGCCCCTCCTGCCTTTTCCCACACTATTGTCTGTGTCCATTGGTTATGCATATAAGTTCTTTGGTTTATTTCTTCCCACCCCCTCAACCCCTTTCCCTTTGAGGTTTGTCAGTCTAGCAACCAATTTGTACTTCTTAATCCCTTCACCTTTTTCACCCATTCCCCCAACCCCCCTCCCATCTGACAACCAACAAAATGTTCTCTGTATCTATGAGAATGTTTCTGTTCTACCTGTTCATTTTGTTTGTAGATTCCATTGTTGATAGATATGCATTCATTGCCATTTTGTTTGTTCATATATTTTATCTTTTTCTTCAAAAAGACCCTTCATCATTTCATATAATAACGGTTTGGTGGTGATGAACTCCTTTAACTTTTCCTTGTCTGGGAAAGTCTTTATATGGCCATCGATTCTAAATGACAGCTTTGCAGGATAGAGTAATCTTGGTTGTAGGTTCTTGCTTTTCATCACTCTGAATATTTCTTGCCACTCCCTGCTGGCCTGCAAAGTTTCTTTTAAGAAATCAGCTGACAGCCTTATGGGAACTCCCTTGTAGGTAACTAGCTGCCTTTCTCTTGCTGCTTTTAATATTCTCTCTTTGTCTTGAACCTTTTGCATTTTGATGATGATGTGTCCTGGTGTGGGCCTCTTGGGGTTCATTTTACCTGGGACTCTGTGCTTCCTGGACTTGTATGTCTGTTTCCTTCACCAAGTGAGGAAAGTTTTTTGCCATTATTGTTTTGAACAGGTTTTCGATTTCTTGTTCGCTCTCTTCTCCTTCTGGCACCCCCAAGATGCGAATGTTGGCACGCCTGAAGTTGTCCCAGAGGCTCTTTACACTATCCTCAATTTTTTGGATTCTTTTTTCTTTTTGCTGTTCTGATTGGGCGTTTTTTGCTTCCTTATATTCCAAATCGATGGTTTGCTTCTTGGATTTACATACTCTACTATTGAATCTGTGTAAATTATTCTTTATTTCAGTTAATGCCTCCTTCAGTTCTGACTGGCCCTTTTTTATGCTCTTGAGGCCCTCACTAAGTTTACTGAGGTTCTCACTGAGTTCATTGAGCAGCCTTATAAGCAGTATTTTGAACTCAGCATCTGCTTTGTTGCTTATCTCCATTTTGCTTAGTTCTTTTCTTGGGGTCTTGTTCTGTTCTTTCAGTTGGGACCTGTTTCTTTGTCTCCTCATTTTGGCTGCCTCCCTGTGTTTGTTTCTGTGTATTACTTAATGAACGGTATGGGGCTAGCTGAGACCAGATACTGCTCATTTGAAAGAATTTAGGAAAACTTGAAGCAGGATCCAAGACAGGCCAATCCTATGGTTAAGCAAGTGGCAACAGCTTGGGTGGGCCTGAAAGTTGGGTGGGGCGGGGCCTCAGGTAGTCACCAGGGCGGGGCTACCAGTGTGAGCCAGGTTGCTGGAGTCCCAGATATGACGACTGTCTGCCGCCCCAGGGAAGGGCTCGCCAAAGGAACAAAGGCCTCTGACAGCATGTTTGTCTCGGAGGAAGCCCCCTCTCCAGCCCTCACTCCAGTGCCAAACAGCTCAGTTCTTCCCTGTGTGTCTCTGGTGCCCCTCGAGCTGCCTCCCCTCCGAGCTTAAGGGACAGAGTCCGATAAGTCCGTGCGCGGGCCCTTTAAGGAGCTGCCTGGGGCTCCAGCTGCTTCAGCCTCCCTGAGCCTCAGTTCCTGCTGGATTTTCCAGCCAGAAGTTATGGGGATTCTCCTCCTGGCACTGGAACCCTGAGCGGGGCACCTGGTGTGGGACGGGGACCCCTCAGTCCTCAGGGAGGACCTTCCCAGCCAAGGTAAACTCCTGATTTTTATCCGCCACACGTGGGTGTGGGACCAGCCCGTCCCCTCCGCCCCTCCTACCAGTCTGGATGTGGCTGCTGATTTAATTCCGTAGTTGTAGGACTTCCATCGGCTTGATTTCAGGCGGTTTTGAATGATGGTTGTTCTGTAGTTTAGTTGTAACTTTGATGTGGTTGTGGGAGGACGCGATACCGCGGTTACCTCCCGCCATCTTGACCGGAAGTCCTCAGCAGCCCAGATTTGATCCGCAGGCCGTTCTGGATCTAATGGCTTATTCCCTGATTCTTGGTTGCCAGAGTCTGAGTGTCTAGTTAGCTGAATCTTGCCACCAGGATTGTCTTATTTGCCTTAGGGGAACATACAAGTGAGATAATGTGACAAAGAGCTCAAACTTTACTGTTTTATGACTGCTTACTAATAAATGTCTGTTGTGGAAGAATTTGGTCTGAGACTTGCTTTCATTATAAATGTTTTCTGGGACTGTTGTTCTCCACCCTAAAGCATGTAAGAGTTGAGCATGGCTAAATTGGCTTAGGTCGAATTGTAGCTAATATAAGGGCACAGAGGCTTGAGAGCACAAGAGACCCAGGGAATAGGCTGAAGTTTTGGTCTGTTTGAAGCATGGGAACCCTCTGGAAGGGAAGAATGGTAGCAAGAAATGAGTTTAGAAAATAAGTTTGGGGCCACCTGGTGGAAGAGCCTTGTATTTCAGTCTAGTGCGTGTGTTCAAAGGAAACATCAGAGATTTTTGAGACTTAACATATGTTCATACGTGTTTAGACAGTCATTTCTGGCTGCCATGTAGAGGGAGAGAGACCAGATAGACTAGAGATTTGCAAACTGTGACCCATGGGCCATATCTTGCCCATCACCTGTTTTGATACAGCCTGAGAACTAAGAATGGCTTTTATATTTTTAAGTGGGGGGTGGGGGGGGTGGGGAGGAGAAGAGTATTTTATGACTTGTGAAATTACATACAGTTCAAATTCTAGCGTCCATAAATAAAGTCTTGTTGGATCACAGCCAGGTCTGTCATTTACATATTGTCCTTTGCTGTGTTTATACTTGGACAATGGAGTTGAACAGTAGTCACAGGACCTGTATAGTGTGCAAAGCCTAAACATGTTGCTCTCTGGCCCTGTACAGACAATGTTTGCTGGCCCTTAAGTTAGACAACGCTGGGCATAATTCACTTGAAAGATGGCAGCTTCCTGGGTGGAATTATAAGAACTTGGAAGTGGATGGAGTTTTGGTGACGAGAGAGGCCGATGACCCCCACCCTCTCATTCATCTTGTGATGCTATTAAACGAGGAAGACTGTTAAGGAGAAGAAATGACCTGGTGAGAGAAGAATGAACAGTCATTTGAGTTAGCTTATTGCACCTGAGCTACTTGTGGAACTCGAGGGAGGGAATCTCCTCTGAATGTCTTGAGGGACAGTGGGTCAGGGGATGCAGTTTTAATATTTGCTCATTCAAGATCCTGTTTGAAACTCTTTAGGATTTGTTAACTTAAGATCTTGTTTGAAAGTTAGAATGAGTGAGTTGGCTTAAAGATAGAGAATGTAAAGAAGAAGAAATAAGGAGGGGAACAGAACAGGAGAGAGAGAGAGAGAGAGAGAGAGAGAGAGAGAGAGGTCGAAGGCAGTCACTCTGAAAATCTCAAACATTTTAAGAGTAGACAGAGGGAGACAAACCCGAGAAGGAAGAAAATCAGAGGGGGCGGTGTTCTAAGCAGAAACCAAAGATGAAGCGCTCTTGCTTCGAGGAAGGAATGACTAACATCTCTCACGCTGTGGAGAGTTCAAAGGGCCGAAGATCAAAATGGACATTATGTTCAGCAAGTGGCATGCCATTGGCAGTATTACTAAAGTTGAGGACGCCTACTAATTATTTCCCACTTGGAAATTTCATGGGTACTTCAAAGTCAATGTATTCTAATTGGAACTCATCCTTTTTCCAAATCTGACACCTCACCAGTGTTTCCTTTTGGGTGAGGACACCAATATATCCATCTGTCCAGCTTTCTAGCCAGAAACCCGGGTTTTCTGGACATGTCCTTTTTCTTCACCCTGGATAGCCCATCAGTCACCAAGTACAGTTAGTTCTTCCTCCTTGACCTTTTCCCACTATTTCCATGACTCTTCCACTGTCATCGCTAGAATGTGGTTATGAAGTCTCTCGGATGAACTCCTATAATAGCGTCTTAACTGTTCTCCCGATTCTCTACAATAAAGTTACAACATTCCTCTTCCAGTTTCTTGGAAATACCACATTTCTTTCTGTCTCACGGTTTTCCCACTCACTAATCCCTTAGCCTGGAATCTCTCTAACCCCCTACTCATGCAGTTAATTCCTCTGAATTCTTTCTTTATCAGGTTTTGCTACTTCGGCCGGGGAGACCTCCGAACCCCAGCCTAGTCAGGCCTCCTTATCATGCTCTCTTATGGCTCTGGAGCTTCTCCTCGATGAAGCAGTGTAGGGATCATTTGTATTGCTGGGTGTCTGTTGTCTTGAGATCAGGAGCTACATCTGTCTGGTTCACTGCGGTGACCCCAGTGCCAGGGACGGACAGTGCCTTTTCACGCAATGACTCCTTGTGGAATGAACACGTGGTAGAAATGCAGAGACGGTGGATTTCAGACGTGTGGGGCTCCATATGTTTTCCATGACTGTGGAGCCCAAAGGGAAGGAGAACAACTTAGTAATGGCAAAAGCAGGTTCAAAATAGAAAATAGGTTTAAAATATTTCTTGATATCCCTGGCCAGTTTGGCTCAGCAGTTAGAGTGTTGCCTTGTGAACCGAAGAGTCACAGGTTTGATTCCTGGTCAAGGGCACATACCTGGGTTGCAGGTTCGACCCCCAGTCCTGGTCAGGGTCAATTTGGGAGGCAACCAATTGTGGTGTCTCTCTCACATCAATGTTTCTCTCTCCCTTTCTCCCTTTCACCCCTCTCTAAAAATCAATGGGAAAATATTCTCAGGGGAGGATTAACTCCCCCCAAAATTATTTTTTTGATAAATGGGGTAGGCTTACATATATTTTCAAAGATATTCAATAGGAGGAGAAGTGAAGTTCTGAGATAGAGTCGAGAGTAGGAGGGAGGAGAGGGAACCAGAGGTCAGACAAAAGTCTGTTAGAGAAAGGAGGAGGGAACCGACGGTCTCCTGATACCGCAGGGAAGTATGTCACACTGGAGTCATAAGAAGTAACTGGACATACAGGCAATCTCTGTCTTCTCTGAGTAGGAAGTTGCTATGCATTGAATTGTGTCCCCACTAAAGGAGTTGCTGCGGTCTGAATCCTCAATACCTGTTAATGGGACCTAATTTGGAAGTAGGTCTTTGTAGGTGTAACCAGGTTAAGATGGGGTTACTTAGGTGGACCTTAATCTGAGAGCTTAGTGGCCTTACCAGAAGAGGACAAACGCCCTGTGACATCAGGGGCAGAGGTGGAGGGATGCAGCTGGCGAGCCATGGGACACCGAGGATGGACGGCTACCACCAGGAGCTGGGGGAGGGTTTAGTTCTCAGAGGGAGGAGCAAGACCCTGCTGGCACCTTGATCTAGGATGTCTAGGCTCCAGCACCGCGAGAGAATCCGTGTCTGTGGTTTTAGGCCGCGCCGTTCAGGACACCTTGTTACAACCCTGGGAATCCAGTACAGATTTATAACCATTTTTCTGAGTGCGGCGGAGTGTAATGTTGGATTCAGGACAGTGATGAAGGTAGAGAAAAGTCACTGTGTGGAAAGACAAAGGATGTTGATTAAAACCTAGCAAAAAGCTAGCTGAATATTTCCCGAGCCTTCAGAGCCGTGATAGGGTGATTAAACAGGAACAGAAAATAAGAAAAGACCTCATGGAACAATGAAACACACTTAGGTAAATATCACTTTCTAAGTATTAAATTTAGCTATCCCTTTCCTGTCAGCCAAGTCTAAAAAGACACGAGTTGTATACGTCTCTTTACCTTTATAAAGAAGTATGACAGCTGTCAAAAGGAGTGTATGTTTTCTCGGTAGTGGTTTCTTATTTGAAAGACCACAAAACACACTAAAGCCACAAATTTCATGAGAGATGTAGATCCAATTCATATTTCTGCATCTACTCTGTGTCAGACCTCTGTGTTATCTCATGGCCTTTAATCATGACCTACCATAGGTATTTTATTCCCTTATTAATATAAGAAAAGTGAGCTTCAGAGCAATCACTCAGCTGGTATGGGCGCAGCATCGAGCCTTAAAAATCAAGGTCCCCTCACTCCTGACTTCTAATACCTTCTAATTCTTCTTTTTACCATATCAGGTTGCTGGAAAGGTTTTTCAGGTAGGTCGTCCTTAAACTGACCTTTAATAATTGCCAAGTTCATGACAATAAAAAGTAAATTCACTGACGATAGTTCTTCAAGGGCCCAAGTACATGCAACCCGAGCAAAAGGCTTTCTGCAGACCTGTTTGATGGAGCGGGCAGGTTAGAATACCTAAGGAGATGGATGATAAACGTCTTGCTCAAATATTGCTTCTCTCTGTTGCCTTTTGGCAGATGCTGCGGAGCAGTCTGTTCAAATTAGGTTCTGGCAAAAATCCTAGAGTGCAAATATCAGGCATTATCGTTCGAAGGACGACTCCCGTGATTTGGATAGCAGAATGCACCAGGCAAGCTTAACGTTCTACTGAAAGTTGAAAAGGCTGCCTTGTGTTCCCGCCTGGATGGAGGGTCATCTCACCTCTATGTCCTCATTAAAAATGCATGAAGTTAAGTTAAAAATTGTATACTAGCAATATTAGCTCAGCGATCATACAATGAGTGCTATGTTGTGGCCGTTTAGAGAAGCACAAACTTTCCTAGCCTTGCTGCTCTTGAACATCCTAATTTCATTGCCTGATCTGAAAGGTCAAGGGTATGAACTTGATGGGAAAGAAAAACCTCCTTTGGGGAATCATTAGAGGAAGTATGCCCCAGTTCATCAGCAGTGATCACAGAGGAGGGGGTGCAAATGGTGCACAGAGCATACTTGCCCTTCAGTGACCCTCAAAGTTCCCTGTGGCTCCATGTGTCTTTGACCGAGTTTACAGCCTTCCACTGCCCTTTGGGTTACTGTGAAGCACCCGGGGGGAGAAAGATGATCTCAGGTAGCCAGGACCCACACTGTGCGAAACTGTCAAGATCACAATCCACAGTGCTGATTATTTACACGCAGGACCAGCAGCATGCTCTTTTTCTGTGGGATCACGAACCACACTGACATGTGTCATCTGGTGCTGCCTTTTGTACCACATCCTCTGGGCATTAAGAGGAGAAGCATTTAGGAACCCCATAGGGGATGCGGATTTTCTAACAACATAATTTCTTTCCAGAAGATCTGAAAAGCAGTGCTGGATGACTCAGCGTTGGATTAAATCAGCATATCTAGTGAATGATCAAAATAAAACCCACCGGGTGCAGGCTTTTTGAAGCCTCTGAAATGTCAGCTGGAATAGAAATATCTCCTCAATACTCACAAAGTTTGAATAGCCCCAAATCATGCTACCAACTCGTCTTTCACCGTGACTCTTATATAAGGGCAATAAATTACACCTGCATTTTAAAAGAGAGAGCTTGGACATTTATTTTACAAGTTCATATAACTTTATTTGCTGTGGGTGATTTCTCTCTTTTCTTGGTTGTGGGGATGGGTCAGAGCATAGATTAATGGGGAGGAGATAGAGGAATCTGGAATATTGCAGTTATATTATCCTAAAATATGTTATCCTAAAACAAAATATATTTATTTACTCTTGCATGAAACTCTTGAGCTAGAATAAAGAGTAGGTAAGAGAAAGTAAAAAAGAAAAGAAGAGTAAGAGAGAATGTGACCAGTTTCTATCTGAATCAAATAAAAGGATACATCTATTTTGGGATGGGAATTATACAGATGAAACAGCAGAATGAGAATATCAACACTGTTTAAGTGGTAGATGGCATAGCCAGTAGCCATCAAGAGACACAATCATTCAAACAAGATTGTTGTTATTGAAATTAGTAGAAAAGTTTATAAAGAAAACTAACAATTTCCTGGAAACAAATTAGCTTTTCTGTTAACATGAAAACTGGTGAAAGAGAAGCGGTTCAGTGGCATTTTAAGGTAAATTTGTTTCATTTTGCACAGAGAAGTAGTAAGATCATTAAAGAAAAATATAAAAAGTAGACACATTTTTCAGTATAATCTATTATAAAATTTTTTTTTCTTTAAATTCTGAGTACATAGCCTTTTGACCTGAATTCCCTTGACTGGGTTAAAAAAATATGAGCAGGCTAGACTGTCCAGCTGATAACTTAGGGGAAGGAATGCTGTTATTTTTAACTAGGCAAATACTTACGGAGTCATCTGTTTTGAACAAAGAAGACTGATAGCCCTGTCCTGCCTTTTCCCTGTGTCTGGAGTCTGAACTTGGCTGACTCCAAATTAGGAAGAAACACCCAACCTTCAACACAACTTTAGAATCAGTTCAGAGTCTCTGTTAGCTATAACATTTAAGGGTTTTCCTTACAAAAATAAGGCATGGACACATTTTCCAAGAACAAATGAAGAAATAGAACAAATGAAGAAATGAGACCCCAACGAGTTGTCTGATAAAAGGGACTCATACTCTGAATAAGTGTTTTCAGCAAATCACTGATTGATAACGCCTAGCTCTGCAGCAAGAGCTAACTGCCCTCCGTAACGTGCTGGCGTTTAAAAGAATGCTATAAAATAGAATCCGTTGTTAGGAAAGTTTACTGCTAACTTCTAATTATTTCTGTTTTATTTTCGGAGATCTACAGCTTGAGGGAGTAGGCTCAACAAAGAGAAAAATACATGCAATTTTTTTTGTTTTTTGATAGTTCATACTCAGAGTCTAAATTTATACAAATATAGGCTACGACCTTTTACAACATTGTTAGGAAATCCTATTTATTTTACTTCGCCACATTTCGGTGTATCGAGGCCAGACTGCATTTTGATAAGTACTATGGACTGAATTGTGTCACCCCCATATTTGTATGTTGAAGACTTAACCCCCAATGTAACTAAATTTGGAAACAGGGTCTTCAGGTGATTAAGGTTCAATGTCATAAGGATGAGGTCCTAATCTCATAGGACTGTGGCCTTAGAACGGTTTTTCTGTCCACCGTGTAAGGACAGTGTTCTAGGTCAGAAAGAGAGCGCTCACCAGCTCAGCCAGCAACTCTGACCTTAGACTTCCCAGCCTCTTTTACTGCAAGAAGTGAATGCCTGTTGTTAAAGCCACCCCGACTATGGTATTTTGTTTTGGTAGCCCAAGCTGACGAAGGTAGTAAGACTCAGCTGCCCTTGACAGTCCCTCTTCCAGGACATGACCCCGCAGGGCTTTAACTCAGAGATGGCACATTTCTATTTCCTTAGCGCCAAGAAGCCAGTGCTTATGAGAGATTTGAGATTTAAGTTTTTAAAGTCTTGCCTCATGCAATTTCAGAATTAGTGAAGGTTTGAATGGTCAACTCGGGGTGTCTGACACTCCTGAATCTCCCATTTCTGTCACTCCAGTCCTGGAACAACTGTCAACAGCTTACGATTTTCTCTGCCTGGGCCAAACTCCAAATCTCTGTCTCAAGCTCCATCCAAAATTAGTAAATGCCCTCAGAACAAAAGAGGCTGTTCCCTCTCCAGAATTTTAGTCCTTGAGTTTCCCTTACTTTTGAAGCTCTTGGATGCTTAAAAAATATATGTAAGTCTTGTATATTATTTGACCCTTTCTGGATAAATTGGTAAGGAACGTTGGTCTGCCTTGAACTATTCCATTCAATGCCATCCACATGCAGTTCCCTTTCGATCTCATTTAATTGATGGTTCAAAAAGTCTTGGAGTCTAGCTCCTCCATTGTCTCCAGACACGGCCCCGAGCTGGATGGGGTCTGAAGTCAGGCAGGCTGGAGTTCTCTTTCTGGCTCTCCCACTTGCTTGCGGGACTCAGGACAACTGTCACGCAGTGGTCAGGAGTCCCAGCTCGAGTAGCAGATGCCTGGGCCATATACTGGTTCTACAGCTAGCTGTGAAATTGCAACATTCACTTAAACTTCCCTCGTCTCTGTTTCACATTACAGAATAGGACAGTCTCTATCTTTAGGATTTTTATAAAGACGAAATGCAATTCAATGCACAGTACCTGTCCCAATAAAAACTAGTTCTTGGTATTATTACTAATTTGGAAAACTTACACAGTCTCCTTAAGTTATTTCCTCATAAACAACAACAAAAATGAGTATAATTCTTGTCTCATAGTTTGAGCATAGAGATGAAATGAAAATGTGTGTTAGTGTGTATGAGTGTTGTGATCTATAGTATTTGGGTCACGATCGCTATTGAATAATTAGTTTGCTTCCTATCCTGCAAACTTTCTCTGAGGCAAATTAAGGTTATTTATGTTTCAAATTCTGCTGGTTTATTTCATATGGATTCAGACTTTTGAGGCACAAACCATATCTTATTCATCTCTGTATTCCGAGCACCTGGCCCAGAGCCTAGTATGCCTATGCATATTTGTTGAAAGAATAAATCAGTTAACACTAACTTACAAGTCTATAGTTCATTATTCACTCCAGCTCCCAGCACATCTCCTTATTCAAAGTAAGAGCCAAACAAATATTTGTTGAATAAATGAATTATTCAGAGTTATAAAAAAAGCTTAATTGTTTATTCAGGAATAATATCAATCGTTTCTTTCAACCTGATTTATTTGACAATGGTTTTCACTTGGACAGTGATCTACTTGGTTCTGAAAAATGCCTGGGGCTTATAAAGTTCTGGGGGTTATAGGGGAAATGGGGCCAAGACTATTTCCTCATCAAATACAAGATCTTGACTTCTATTTACCATTTTTGGGTCACCAAATACATTTATGTATTCTCCCTGGTTATAGGGGTAATGCAACAGGAATGTAAATTAACATGATGGGGCGGTGTGTAGCTGGGTTCACAGTGGAAGCCAGATGGCTTTAGTCCTGAAGGATTAAAACCTAAAACAACAATAATTAAAAACTTTTTTTTTTTTTTTTTTAAGTGCGCGTACCATATGGGCTCTTAATCAGAACACAGGGAGTTTAACATTCAGAGGGTAGACACAAGTATACTTAACTGACTAAGAAAATAATCTCTAAAGCATTATCGGTTGCTACTTAGACTGTTAAAATAATAAAATAACATTTAATATATTTTTATGATGTGCTTGGTATTGTGCTACACGTTTTCTGAACATTATCTCAGTTAATCCTCCTAGAAACAACAGTGCTCTGTGAGATAGGTTCTCCTGGTGTCCCGCTATGTAGATAAAGACATTGACATGATAAATGTTTAAGAACTTTCCCAAGGACACACAGAGAGTATGGAAGGCGGGGGTGGGGTGGGGGCTGGATATTTAAACCAGGTCTGGCTGTCTCCTGGTTTCCTTACTATTAGTCGCTGTTGTACCGATTCTCCCCTCATCAGAACCAACAACCGCTTTTAAAAACAAATATCTTGTAATGTCTTCTTTACTACCCTCAAATGAAATTCACAGATGATAGACGCTCCCTACACACATCATAAAAAAAATTCCCTGGCTTTAATATAAAGGAGGATTTCAAGGGAAGTAACTTTTAATGAAATGATATATAGTTCACTGTGTAAATGCTTTGACTTGATTACACTGGAAGACATGTGGTCAGATGCTTACCCCCATCTGTAGAATCTTCATGAATGTGTCAACAAGAAAAGCAGAATGGTACGGGTGTGATATTCGTAACTGCAATATCAGCTGTGGCACCGCCATTAATTGAAGGTC